ATTAACCGGGTGATTCCTTCTCGGGGAGCCAATTTGACGCGGCCCGTACGTAGTCCTCGGGTGTGGAGCCGGTCAATTTCTAGGTGGTGGTGTTGTGGTGCACGGTCGCAAGTGCGGTGAACACGGTTCAAATAATATAATATCAATAATAAAAATAATAGTACCGGATTCGTGATGACACAATATATATATATATTGAAAAAAAATATTAATAACAATAACGCACACCAAGAAAAGTATCGGTATAATGTGTGGCAGTGGTCACAACGACAAAAAAGAATCAAAGATTAATATGTGCGTCGTATGACGGTCAAAACAGCACAGACCGCCTTTGCGGTACGGTGAGTACGTTGTCACCGGTTTCCGGCAACGGTCCCCCCCCTCTGCCCGATATACGAGGTAGGTGAGGTCTTGCCGGGCCGGTATTGTCGTTGCTCCAGGTTGTGGCCGGCGCGGTCCGCGATAGTGGTGTACGTGCTGTACCTCCACCTACCGCGAGACCGCGTCAATGTAAGGTATGATTTGAAACATACGGAGGGGCGCATGTAATCATGCGTAGCGAGGTAGATTGGAATGTTTGGATTTTATAAATATTTGATTTTTTTGTTGATCCCCATAGTTGGATACCATATAACCAAATTGGTTTAAGGAGGGTTTTGTATAGTAACAGTTTTGTATTAAGGTTAATTTTTGATTGTTTTCCTATAAGTGGAAGGAGAGATCTGCTTCTGGCATTTAGTATGAGCCGTTTTTGTTTGATAAGTGTGGCCCAGGTAAGTCTTTTATCTAGTGTCATACCCAAATATTTAACGTTAGAGGAAGAGGGAATGACTTTATTGTTTAAGCAGACTGGGGGTACTGTGCTTTGTGAAAGGTGATGTGAGATGATTTTTCGTTATTTATTTTTATTTTCCATTTGGAATACCAGTCTGCTAGTAAGTTTAGATGATTTTGTAGGTGTTGTCTAACAAGGTGTGGATTTTTTTCAGAAATGTATATAACTTTGTCGTCAGCAAAATCGGCAACTGAAGTATGAGGAGTGGTTGGTTGATCGGCTGTGTATATGTTGAATAGTAATGGGGAAGAGATGGCACCTTGGGGAACACCAGCTAGGATTGGGGCCAAGTTTGAAATTTCAGAGCCAACTTTGGTGACAAAGAATCTGTTTTCAAGATATGACTTAAAAAATAAGTAGTAGGATGGTGGTAGAATTTTTTTTAATTTGTGTAGAAGACCAGGGTGCCAAACTCTATCAAATGCTTGGGCAACGTCGAGTAGAATAGCTGAGCAGTATGATTTGTTTTCTAGGGAGTAGGCGATTGAGTCGGTTAGGAGGTGTATCTGATGAATAGTGGAGTGTTTATTTTGGAATCCAAATTGTGTGTGGGGAATCATTTGATTGTCATTAATGATTTTAGATATTCTTTTTAAGATCATTTTTTCACATAGTTTCGCGAAAAAAGGTAGTAGGCTTATTGGGCGGTATGATGACGGAGTATCTGGAGATTTTCCAGGTTTGGGAATTAAAATAATGAGTGATATTTTCCATTGAATAGGGAAATACGAGAGTCTCAGGATAGAGTTTAAAATATGAGTTAGGTGAATTAATGCAGTCTTTGGCAGTTGGCGAGCTACTTCAGCTGTGATGAGGTATTTAAAAAATGAAAAAAAAAAAACTCTGATGTACCATTTTTTATTTTTAAACCCATGGAGGTAATCGGCAATCATACGGTCCATTAGGTCCACACCACCCATGAATTTATTATATTCTTGAATACTATATGGTCTACTAACTTCAATTCTTTTTCTATCATTCCTGTCATAACGCATTGTTGTACCCTCAGGTATAGCTCCTGCATAAATAGATATTGTATTTTTCCAACGAACTACTGTTATGTTATCATCTAAAGTAGCAATAGAACTAGAACCTCTTTCCAGCAATTTCTCAGAAATCAAATTATTATCAATACCATATACTCTATTAATTCTAAGTGTTTCTAAGACATATATACAGGGTGGGGCACTGAAACGGCCGATTTTAAAAATAGATTTTCTCAGTAGTAATAAAGATAAGAATTCTCACTAAATACTATTAGTTCAAAGACAGCATGCCATTTAGTAAACATGGAGCAGTGGAGTGGTAAACAACGTGCTTATGCGATAAAATCATTTTACAAAAATAATGACAGTTACGTAGCCGCACAGCGTGAATTTCGTCTTCATTTTAATTTTAAACGGCATGATTCAGTACCATCGGCTAAGGCTATTAAAATATGGATAACCAACTTTGAAGAAACGGGTTCAGCATTAAAAAAGAAGCCTGTACGACAAAAAACTATTCGCACACCTGAAAACATCGTTGCTGTCAGAGCCGCTCTCATAAAGAGTCCGAGACGTTCTGCACGAAAACATGCGTTATCGTTAAATTTATCCAGTAGAAGTTTACGTCGGATTTTACACAGTGACCTAAACTTTCACCCGTATAAGGTGCAGGTGGTTCAAGAATTAAAACCTGCAGATCACTATAGCCGCATAACTTTTTGTCGAGAAATGCTAACCCGAATGGACGAGAACGAAAACTTTATTCAAAATGTTTGGATGTCTGATGAAGCACATTTCCATCTTGATGGTTTTGTGAATAAGCAAAATTGTCGTTATTGGTCTAAAGAAAATCCTCGCCAACTTCATCAACGACCTTTACACAGCGATAGGGTAACTGTATGGTGTGCAATTTCACATTATGGCATCATTGGCCCGTATTTTCATGAGGACGAAAATGGACGGGCAACAACTGTTAATTCAAATCGTTATGTCAATATGATCAATAATTTTTTGGTCGGCGAACTAACGAAGTTTCCTCAAAATGATAACTTTTGGTTCCAACAAGATGGCACAACATCCCACACGGCCCGAGTATCAATAAATGCTATTCAACAAATTTTTGGAAATCGCATTATTTCCAAAAATGGTGATATTCATTGGCCACCTCGATCACCGGATTTATCAGTATGTGACTTCTTTTTATGGGGATATTCAAAAAGTAAAGTCTATGCACAGAAACCTCGAAATATTGATGAACTAAAAAACAAAATTAAAGAAGAAATTTCCAGTACGCCTTTGGAAGTGATACACCGTGTAGTGGAAAATATACGAAGTAGGCTAGAAGAGTGTTTGAGAAGAGATGGCCATCATCTTGAGGACATAATTTTTAAAAAATAAATGGCATGTTATATACTTCATTATAATAAATAATAATTAATTTTTATTTGGTTTTTTTATTTTATAATTTGTCTATGAAAATCGGCCGTTTCAGTTTGTATTAAATGATCTTAGTTTTCGCAGCAATGGAATAGATGTAAACAGATTATCCATGAATAATTTATGATTTTTTCCGTGTATTCCATAACAAAGATTTACCACAGTATCAACAATGTACCTTATAGTATCTCCTTATACTAGCTTGAACCCAAATTTTAAAACCCCATTTCTTAGGTTTGGATTTTAAGTACTGTTTGAGATAACTTTTCCCTTTAAATGGCACCATCATTTCATCAATTGCAATATGCTTATTTGTTGAAGTAGCTGCATGAAAAGACTGATGCAAAATATCTAAGACAGGCCGAACTTTCCACCAATATTTATCGATAACAGTATTAGGCTGGTTACTGTTGTCTGCAAAATGAATGTACCTTTTTATTTCAGTAAATCTATTATATGACATGACATCTGCTATTAAATCCATTCTTAGTCCATCTTGAGAGGACCAATACATCCGCATATTGAGATATTTTATATAGGTCATAGCAATGTTAATAGCAAAAAAATTTTTAACTCTTTGATAAATAAGGTAAAATTGTCTTTCTCACATTGAACAGCATATCTTATAGTTTCAACTCTTATTAGTTCAAATAATTCATCAGTAAATATTTGAATAAAAATGGAATAAGGAGTAGCACCATCATTTGTGTCAATATTTACTATTTCATTACCAATGAAAGGAGGAACTGAATCTGTGAATTGGTTATTTTTTACTGAAAACCACTTAGTTGTTTTCTTCTTTTCTTTGGCGTTTTTGGATTTTTGATTGGGTCTGTGTGTATGTTTCTTACTGTACATGTTCTAGTTTTTTTATTTTTTGGTAAAATGGGCAAAGTTTTTTTTCAACACTTTGTTTTTAATGGCACATTGCTAGAATCATTAGAAATATTTGGATAAGTTCTATGGCTGGATATAGAAGGGATAATAATGATTGGATCATCAATAACAGTATTACTTTCAACTAAATAATTTTGATGTTGTGATTGTGGTCTGATGTTATTTACAATATTATCATAGTTGTCTACATCATTGGCATCCATGAAAAAAATACTAGCTGATAAATATTCATATCTTATTTCACTATTTATATAACCTAGAATGTCTTCAATATGTTGAGGAGTAAAATTTTTCATTTCTTTTGTGTCATTGTCAATTTGTATATTTTGTTACGTGCCAACCGTTTGATCCGTTAATTCAGTTACAACGTCTAGGTCAACGCTTGATTGGAAGTGTAGTCAAGAATAATTAAGACTTTTTTAAAATAATTAAATTTATTTAACTCATAAAATTATCTTAACTACAATTTTGTAAATATTCTAGTGATAGAAATTATCTAAGTTCTAACAATTGTAACTTATAAAATGATTGAAATATTTCTAAGTCCAGACCATAACATACACTGACGTGAAGGTGCTCAGTGCAGCATAGCCAAGACTCGTCTGATTTGCCCTTGTTTTCGGGTCCCTTTTATATGTGATATGTGTGTGTGTAAATCCCAAGTGCGTGTGTGTAAATGAAAACTGATAGCAAAATAATTAAAATAAGATAATTTCCTGTTAATTATGAGTGTGTGTGCGTTATCTTCGGACCGTGACATAATTATTGACACAAATGCCCAGGATGTGGTTTTTGATTAAAAGAGTCCCTACACGATCAATAATATTGCACAATAATCGATATTGCGCAATATTATTGTGCGTCTGATACTAATATTGTGCATACTGCGCAAGTATTGAATGAAAATTGTGCTTGTTTGAAAATAATTGCACAATATTGAATAATTTGTACGTGTAGGCATAATATTGTACAATAATTGTTTTTTACGGTTCAGTTGAATTCAAGTCACCATGGCGAAACGCAATGAAGACCGCGAATTTATTATTGAACTATTGCAATTATATCGCCAACATACAGCTTTATGGAAAGTTAAAAGTACTGAATATAGTGATAGAAACCTGAAGAATGAGGCATATAATGTATTAATTGAAAAATATAAAGAAGTGGACCCAAATGCAGACAAAGAAATTGTGAAAAAGAAAATTAATAGTCTGAGAACTAATTATCGAAAAGAGCTGAAAAAAGTAAAAGCGTCCTACAAATCTGGAAGTGGTACTGATGATATATACGTGCCTCCGTTATGGTATTATAATGAATTAAATTTTCTACAAGACCAAGAAGTACCTGTGGATGGATCATCTACAATTATTTTACAAAGCGAGGATGAGACACAAGACGACGTAGACCTCTCAATAAACGCACAGGAGCAAAACATACCAGAGGTAATTGGAAGTTTAATTATTTATTAAAAATAAACAATTTTATAAGAACATACATTTAAGAAACACATTTATCATACATTTACATTTTAAATAATATTTTCTTGCCAAGTAACTTTCCCTTCGTTGTTAAAATAATCACAGAACTTTAGTCTAATATTTTTCGCGGATATTGATGCATTTCTTCCTCGTAGAGGTTGTAGACAGTGTAATTGAGGATGTTCTATATTAACGTCATTTTGAGGGTCATCAAAATTATTGTATTTTGAAATATCTGAGTATTGATCTTTTATTTTTCTTCTTAAAAAATTATGAAGATAACAGCAAGCTAAAACTATTCTTTGTACTTTTTCTGGTGATAAATTTATTGTGGTCAAAAGTAATCTAAAACGTGATACTAATATGCCAAATGTATTTTCTACTATACGCCGAGCTCGGGATAGCCTGTAGTTAAACACTCTTTCTTCTCTAGTTAAATTTCTTTGAGGAAAAGGTTTCATAAAATTATCTTTTAGTGCAAATGCCTCATCTCCGACAAAAACAAATGGTAATTGATAATTACTGTTGGGAATTATTTTTGGAGGAGGGATATTTAATTCTCCTTTTTCTAATAACTGACCAAATTTTGTATTTGTTATCACGGCTCCATCTGACATACGTCCATTTGCTCCTACATCAACCATAATGAATTCATAGTTTGAATCTACGACTGCCATTAGTACAAGACTAAAAAAATGTTTGTAGTTGTAATATTGAGAACCAGATCCTTTAGGCTTTTGTACTGCTATGTGCTTTCCGTCTACGGCACCGATGCAATGAGGAAAATTCCATTTGCTTTCAAATCCCTTAGCAACTGCACTCCAACCTTCAGAATTCTTTGGAAGCTAAAATAATATAAATATTTATGTTAGTGACATTACGTTTAATTAAGGACAATTAATTATTTTTTTTAATATCATCTATGATACTTGGAACTCTGTGAAAAATTTACCCGTCTATATGTTTAGGAACAATACACAAATGTTAAGCATTTACCAACCATACAGCCACCACCAGCAAAAAAACAAATGGTTACTTCTCAAAAGGAATTACTAAATATAGCATGTGAGTATTTGAAAAATCACGATGAGTATGAAAATCTCGGAATATCATGGGCAAATGAGATAAAAAAAATGAGAGTTGATCAACAAATGCATGCAAAAAAAGCCATTCATGATATTTTGTATGAAGGTCAGTTGGGTACTTTACATAGAAACTCCGTAAAAATCAATGAACCTTTAAGTAACCAAATAACACCTTAATCCTCAGTATGGTCATTTCCATCAACTTCGTCAACACCATCACCACAACTGACAACACCACAACTTCATACAGAGCAGTATCACTCTTTGGATAGTATTGAAAGTGCAGCAGCATATTTTTCAAATTACTCCGATCAGTAAATTTGTTTATTTTCAATTATTTAAAGTATGTTTAATTTTTTTTTTTCAATGATAAAGTGTGTATTGTATAATATAATAAAACAACATTTGTTTAACCTACCTGAATGTATTCTTGCAGTTTTGTTATCATAGCCTCGCATGTTTCCAAAATAATAGAGCTGATAGTTTGTGGTGCTATTGCTAAATAACTATTGCCTTCGTCGCCATTTTTTTTCTTTCACCTTCGTTTTTGAACAAGTGATACGTGCGCCTTCGTCGCCGTTAGTGAAGTGCGCCTTCGTCGCCTTTTTTGGTTTATAATACGACGCCTCCGTCGTCGTATACTCAATACGTGGGCCTTCGTCGCCGTTAGTTTAAATGCGCCTTCGTCGTCTTTTTGGATTATAATACGACGCCTTCGTCGTGTTAGTAAGTGAACTATACTTGGTGAAACTTAGTTTTAGTGTGGACGTGGATAATTTCGGATACCAGTCATCGTGGCGCCGTTTGGAGACAGGTCAACCTTTTAATTATCTTATGAAACCAAATATATTTGTCCTGTGCGCCCATTGGGGACATTTATTTTATATTTATTTTATACATTATACGTTGCTTCTCCCCCCTTTGCCTTTAGTTAATAAGCTTATTCAATGTTTATTTAATTTAATATAATAAGATTTTGTATTTGATAAACCAATAGCTGATCATTTTATTATATCCCTCCTCCTTCATCCTTTAATTTTCCATCTATACGTGTGGCAATCGACCGGATTCTGCCGTGGCGATAAGCTCTCGTAATATACACCTGCGAGAATTTCGCGCGCACAGAGACATTAAAAGAGTGGATTAGGGCGAAGAGGCTATTGCGTTGGGGAACCAGTGAGGGACAATGATAAAGTATGTGTGAGATATCACAAATCATGGGAACATTAGCGTGTAGCATGCATAAAGAGGAGTCATTGAGAGAAAGTTTATAAGAGTGTGAAGGTAGTAGAGTGTGTCCAAATCTTAAGCGTGAAAAAAAAGTAATCATTTTACGATTTAATTTGAGGTTGTGAAACCAAGGATGAAAAGGAATAGACGGTGAGATATTTTTGTACTAAGGGGCATAATTGGGTGCTAGATTGTTCCATTGGTTGTGCCATAAATTAGAAATATGAGATTTTAGTAAGGGGCAAAAATTGGTCCAGGGAATTAAAGTCGGAGAAGGACAGCAGAACGAAGAGGTAGATTTTGCAATGGAGTCCGCTATTTCATTACCTTTTATGCCAGAATGGCCAGGCACCCAAAAAAATTCAACTATAACATCTGAAAAAGAAAGTTCGTATAGGAGTTGCCTGATCCTGATGGAAATAGGGGAAGGGCGGGAATTGAAAAAATCGGAGGAGAGACTGAGAAGGCTTGATAAGGAGTCGGAAACGATGAGGAAGCTATTGGGAGGGAGGGTAGAAATGGTTGAGAGGGCTTCTAAAATTGCGAAGCATTCGGTAGTGAAATATGAAGCAGAAGGAGGTAGATTATTGGACATGGAGATATGTAAATCGGGAATGTAAAAAGCGTAACCGGACGAAAGAGAGGAAACGGAACCATCAGTATAAATTAAGGTGTAATTGGGGAAATGATTTTGGATGTATTCTAAGAAAAGGTTGTTGACGATGATAGGTGATATAGATTTAAGTGACTTGGAGGAAACGTTAAAAAAATGTTTGTTAGTGTGAACTTTAGGGGTGTAAGACAGTGACAAATAGTTAATTTCGTATAAG